AAACGTCGATCTATTTGTCTGATGAAATAAAGCACTATTGAATTGAAAGACCGTGAGTACAGCCTGGGTATCCACATTTAGTGTGTGTGTATATATATATATATATATATATATATATTGATGTCCTGATAAATCATTGATGTCCTGATGAAAGTTTTCTGATGTAAACTGAAATGTTGACAATGTCTATGGATTAAAACCCTTTTCGTTTTTTATAAGTCCTTGAGTGCCGGCTTCATTTGGCAGATTGTATTTTTGTGCAGCTGAGCACCGGGCATTTAACCAAGAGGAAAGCAGGAGTGCAAAACACCAACAAATTGTATATATAGATATATATATAATTTTTTACAATTATTTTTATTTACATATAGGTATATATATAGTGATATATACGTATATACATATATATATATATATATATATATATATTATTTCTTCTAGGTGTATTTTGATATTGTATATATATATATATATATATATATTAATTTTAAAATACAGTTAGAACAAAATTACACACACATTTATTTTTTATAATTTAAAAAAAATTAAATAATTTTCTTAAAATATTTTATACAAAAAGACATAAAAAGACAAGAACAATGATTCTACTTAGAATCAAACAAAAAAAACCATTCCATAATCACAGAAGGATAACTTATTCGTATTCATATATCTATAGATTTCATAACATTGTATCATTGTTACTAGTTTTCTTCAAATTTAATTTAAACAATTACACAGGTTATTGATATACTATGACTTTGATAACTTTATCCTAGAATTATTATCTATAATATATCACTCTGTTTTAGTGCATTTTTAAAACCATCAATACAGATGTTCTTGTTCTCAGTAATGTGTCTATCTTTTTGTCTATCTTTTACGAACACTGAAACATAGATTGGGTTAACTCTTTACTCTTCAAATTTTTAAGTATTTATAGCGGTTATGATATTTAACATACACTTGTTTCCATTTCTTTTCCCTTCTTTTTTTTTTCTTCCTTCACCTTTCACTAGTAATATGCTTTGCTTTACGCTGTAGTTCCTTTCTCTTAATTTTTATTATTTTTATCCTTCTATATGATTTATATCTGCTATAAGAGTAGCATATAACTCTCCTAGTATGTTTTTTTTATAAACATTATACCAGATTGCTCCCTTTTCCATCTCCAATTGGTTCAAAATGTGACTCTTTAATTGGTGTATATTTGGAATGTCTGTTTTTTTTCCATGCTTGGTCGCCATAAGGCAATGGGTAACTAGTATTTCGGGGTTTTTTTTGTCTAGCTTATCATAAATGTGTAATAGGGCTACTTCTGGTGTAAAATTCAAACGGGTATTACTTATCGCAGTTATTAGTTTAAATGTAAGGTCCCATAATGATCGGATTCTAGGGCAATTCCACCATATGTGTATCATAGAGCTGTATAGATTAAAACATCTCCAACAGTTAGGAGGATTGCTCTGGGATATTTTGTTTAATCTCCTTGGGACCATATACCATCTATAGCTAACTTTAATAAAGTTTTCCAATATATTTAAACAATGAACATATTTTTTGACTTTAAGAAATGCAAGGCACCATAAGTTAAAGTCCACTTTGGTGCCAAAATCTCTCTCCCAATTTTTAAAAGCTATAGAGGTGTTGGATCGATCTGTATAATTTATTAGTTCTAATGTTGGAGAATATTTATTTTCTGTAGCTTCTATAGAGAGTATCTTTCTAATTAAATTTCCTTTCTCCCCATTATATCTTATGATGTGTATTTTTAGAAAACTCTTAATACGTAGGTAATTAAAAACTTCTCTAGTGGGATAATCTTCTAGTTGATCATTACCATAAATATCTTTAACACAAATGTCTGGGTTAATATACCAGTTTTTCAAATTTATGTCACTCATAATATTTTCCAAAGTTTTGAGGGATATAGTATCAGGAATTATATCAATGATTCCCAACTTTCTTTTTAGAATATACCATTCATTTATTGTTTGTGAAATAATCGCAGTTTTATAATCTGATGTATTAACCTTTTTGCCAATGTTTGCCCAGAGTAATGTTTCTAGGTTAGCCATCCCTTCTCTATAAGATTCTAATTTATACCACGCTTGCTCTTTACAATCTGTCACTTGTAGATTTGAAGCATGTGTCATTATGATTGCTTGATATGTATTCTTTATTAATGGATATCCTAAACCTCCCCGATAAGCTTTATTCGCAAATGTTACCGAATTGATTCTGGGTTTCTTACCCCTCCATATAAAGTCTGTGAAGCTACTCTGTATTAAATTTAACCAATGTATTGGAACCTTAAGGGGGATCATGCGGAACAAGTAGATCCATTTTGGGACATTTTATGCCTTAACCATATTAATGATATTTAGTGGGACCTCCATTCCTGTAATAATTTATTTGTTTCTTTTAGTTGATTAAGAAAATTAATTTCCATTAAGCGGGCAACATCAGTTGTCAACAGCATATCCAAATATGGAAGCTGTGTTATTGACCAGTTAAATGTATAATTTTGTCTTAGTAATTGTAGCCTTATTTTCCTTATGTTTGCTGTTAATGCCAGTGTTTTATTAATATTCATTTTAAAATTGGAAACCTCACCACATAATATTATGTCCTGCATTAGCAGTGGTAACGATTGTTCAGGCTCTGTAATAGTCAGTATAATGTCATCCGCATATAAGCAGATCTTGAATTCTTCATTTGGGATAGAGATCCCTTTTATACCTATACTTTGTCTTATTTTACATGCCAAGGGTTCCATTGAAATAACATATAGTAGCGGTGAAAGTGGGCAGCCTTGTCTCGTGCCATTTAGGATGTCAAACCATTCAGATCTTAAGTCTCTGCCCACTATTCTAGCTGATGGCACAGAGTACAGAGCCTCCAGTGCCCCCGTGAACCAGCCTTCAAAGCCCATTTTTAAAATAGTCGAAAGCCTTTTTGGCATCAATCGACAGGGTCAGCAGGGGCACTTTTGTTGTCTGAGCCCAGTCCATTATCTCTATCATTCTTCTAGTATTGTTATTAGAGTGTCTTCCTGCTACAAAGCCTATCTGGTCCTTTTTTAATTTTATTTTTTAACGTATTTACATATTTTTATATTATATATATATTTATGATAATTATATATATATATATATTTAATCAATATCATTCTACGTGTATTTTGATGTTAATATATTTATAATCATATATATATATATTAATATTAAAATACACTTAGACAGTGTATGTGTATGCATGTATATATACATATATATATATATATATATATATATAATTTTAAACTGTTTTAAACTTTTTTTTTTTTTTTAAAGGCAGCAGGGGGAGTACCTGTCATTACAGGCACTCCCCATGCTGGCATTGCTGTGGATGGCTATGCTGTCCATGTGATCGTGAGGTCCTTGCAAGGACCTCGCTATCACATGGCCCAGGAGGGCCGGAACGGAAGCAGGGGGACTCCATGGGATGCCAGGTGAGTCTCCCCACCGCAATCGGGTAAGTGAATAGGATGGCGGGGACATGCTATGCCACCCCCCGGCATTTAGAGCTGGGTCCCC